TGTGTGTGTGTGTGTGTGTGTGTGTGTGTGTGTGTGTGTGTGTGTGTACTTGATAAAACTTTTATTCTATTTACACCATTGTTATTTTCAGTATCCGTTGTAAGTGCAAACACAATTCCCGATTGATTCACTGGGTTAATGAGTAGGAAATTTCCCTGTAAATAGGTTTGCTGTAGCTTACGCTAGAGAGCATGTTTCTTCGTATTTTTGCCGAATATGAGTATTGTAAAAATTTTAAACCTCTGACAATCTAGTAAGTGAAAACATTTTTTGTTGTTGCTTGTGTTTAATTTACTTCCAGTGAATGGCTCCCTTTTTTCTTCTTTTTCTCCTTTGTTTGCTTCCTTTCTTAAAAATACACAAATGATTCTCTACAAGCTCATGGGAAATTCAAACAAGGACTTTCAATTCTGGAAATATTTGGGACTAGACATTATGAAAACCCTCTTGCCATAAAACACCAAGAGTGTTAGATAAATTTTAACAAGCATCTTGTTAATGCAGAGTCCAGCTTGTAAGAAGGTAAAGAACATGTTTAGGGGTAAAACAGAAGAGGGAGCAGGCACACAGCACAGAAAGCTAGCCCTGACACCCAGGTTACCACGAGGTCATCGATTCGTCAGTACCTGCACCTAGAGCCTAGGGGCGTTGCCAGGCGCATGGGGCAGGAGATGAGGCTCTAGGTCCAGCAAGGTGTGCTGCTGGAACAGCGGACGTGAGTAGGGCTTGGGTCCGTAAGGGGACATTGCCTCAAGGAGAGGGTGGCGGCGTTTCTGAAAATCTGCCCACTGGCAAAGAGAGATACTGGCATCACTTGTTTGTCTAGTCCTCATTTCTGGGTGGGGGAAGAGGTTGTGTGGTATTTGGTGGAGATTTTGCCTAAAGGAGATTAATGACTGTTGGAAGGAGCTGGAAAGGGCAAGCTTGGGCAGGATCCTGTAAGGGGCGTGGATAGAATAGAGAAGGGGAGGAGGTTTAGCAAGACATTTCCTCAAACTGACCACTAGATGGTGCCAATAACTCCGTACAGCTTGGTTGCCCTCTCTGAGCAAAGCAGTGATTTGTTTCCCACTATAGTTGTCCCGCAGTATCCCGGGGACGGGGGAGGGTGCTTCGGGGACCCCCATGGACACCAAAA